CGATTCGGTTACCTTTGAAACTTCCGACGCGTCGCGGTCGTGCGTCGCGTGTATGCTGAAAATCAAAGTTGACGGATTTAGGTCGTGTTTGGGCTCATTCTGAAGCTAACAATCTCAAAAACCTAAAAATTTGATTTTTAAGTCAATATGGTCATTTTGAAGTGATTTACAGCCCAAATAATTTTGACTCTGCAAATTTTGTGAAAAAAAAATATTTTTTTGAAAAATGTATTTTTTCCAAAAATGGCCGTGTTTAGGCTCATTTTGAAGGAAATTGTCTGAAAAATCTGAATTTTTCTGTTTCAGGCTATATAAAGAACTCTGGAAGCCATTTTGGCCCCTTATACCTCCAAAGTTCCAGAAAATCATAAAATCACATTTTCGCCATAAAACAAAGCGGAAAAAAGCGAGTCGTCTGAACATTCGTCATACCTAGACACTAAACACAATACATAAACTTATGGGTCCGTCCCAAAAGCATAAAAAACGGGGAAAAACCCAATAAAACATTGAAAAGAATGTAAAACACGGCAGCACATAAAAAGTAGACATTCCTTTGTTTGAAAAAATATTTTTTGTGGGCCCGGATGTTTTTTTTTTGTGCTAGAGAAAAGTTCAGACTAAGAATTATCTTTTTTTTCCGATAAAAATGTCAATTTTGAGTTAAATTAGCCAAGTTTATTGCCTAGGTGAAAATTTCAATATCTCACACCTTCCGGACCATATAAACGGGTCCAAACTTGAAAATTATAAAGTTTGAATACTAAATTTGAATTTCTTGAGTCAAAACCTTCAAAATGATCCTAAACACGACTAGAATTGGCGAAATTTGAAATTTTCGAAAATTTTCAGACTAATTATTTTCAGCCATAAAACGCTTCAAAATGAAGAAATCAACTCAAAACCAAGTTTTTTGAATTTCCGCAGTTGTGAGCAACAAAATGAGCCTAAACACGACTAGAATTTAGTAATTTTGGATTTTGACCGAAACACGACGCGACGCACGACCGCGACGCACCCGAAATTTTAAAGCTCACCGAATCTGGCCGTGTTTAGACTCATTTTGAAGCTCTCCGCTTACTTAATTCAAATTTGTACATAAAAATTTGAAAATCTCAAGTTTTTCCCGTGTTTTGAAAGTTTTGAAAATTTTTGAAAATTTTCAGAAAAATTATTTTCAGTCATAAAATGCTTCATATCGGAGCGACTGACTCGAAATCTGATTTTTTGAGTTTCTGCCGTTGTGAGCTTCAAAATGAGCGTAAACACGACCTAATTCCGTCGGTTTTGACTTTTGGCTGAAACACGCGACGCACGACCGCGACGCACCCGAAATTTCAAAGCTCACCAAATGTTGTCGTGTTTGGGCTCATTTTGAAGCGCTCAGCTTTCTAAATTCAAGTTCAAACATGAAATTTTGAAATTCTCAAGTTTTTCCATTCAAATTGAGCCCAAATTTGGCTGAAATTGATCAATTTTTAATTTATTGGTAAATTTTCTAAATCCCGGAAAAAAAAACATTTTCAAACTTTTCTGTGTTCCCTCCGTTTTTTTTCTGAATGTAATTTGACACTTTTTAGCGAAATGAAGAAAAAATGAAGAAGAAAATTACACTAACAATGAGGAGAGTCAGTTTACCAATACACTTTTCTTTTCTCCCGCTGATCTACGTTTTTGAGACTTGAACTTTTTTGGATTTATTTGAAATTTGCAGAACATGCTTAACAAAACTAGAGCTTCATTTGTTTAGTTGACAACTTTTTTCTAGCTACCGTAGTTTTTGAGATATGCGCCTTTAAAGAGACGCAGACACTCAAGCATACGGAAGGATGTCTGGCAACCTTCAACTTTAAAGGCGCATACCTCACAAACTACAGTACCTATTCAAAACCTATAAACTTCACAAATGTGTAAAATTTTATGTTAAGCAATTTTGTAGTTGACAATTTTTCTCTAGCAACAGTAGTTTTCAAGATATGCGCCTTTAAACATCAGCTTCAAGGCGCCTCCCCCGTCTCTCTGCGTCTCCCCATCGCTGAATCTTTAAAACTACAGTACCTATCTAAAAACTACAAACTACAAAAATGTGTAAAAATTTATGCTGGACAATTTTGAAGTTGATAATTTTGCCCTAGCTACTGTAGTTTTGGAGATATGTGCTTTTAAAGTTTGTGTGTGCCTAGCAAATGGCTACACCGGATTTCCGGTGTAGCTTTTTTTTTCAAAAAAAATTGTTTTTTCGAACTACAAACTTTTCGTGGGTGGGTATTGTGTTAGCTGGCTACTGGGTATAGGTATACTTCCGGTCACTTGAAATTAGGCTCCGCCCACTTTTTGGTCTCTTTTTGTGATTTTTGAATTTCCGAGATTTTTTTTTCAAAAAATTGTTTCCAGAGAACATAGACATCTGGAGAAGCAACGTATACCTCTTGAAATGTGATCCGATGATCACATTTTGAGAGAAAGAATCGAGTTTTTTGAGAGAATTTTTGAAAAAAGGTCGAAATTTAGAATTTTAGAATTTTAGAATTTTAGAATTTTAGAATTTTAGAATTTTAGAATTTTAAAATTTCAGAATTTTAGAATTTTAGAATTTTAGAATTTTAGAAGTTTCGAATTTTAGAATTTTAGAATTTTAGAATTTTAAAATTTCAGAATGTTATAATTTTAGAATTTTAGAATTTTAGAATTTTAGAATTTTAGAATTTTAGAATTTTAGAATTTTAGAATTTTAGAATTTTAGAATTTTAGAATTTTTGGAATTTTAGAACTTTTAGAATTTTTGGAATTTTAGAACTTTTGGAATTTTTGGAATTTTAGAATTTTTGGAATTTTCGGAATTTTAGAATTTTAGAATTTTAGAATTTTAGAATTTTAGAATTTTAGAATTTTAGAATTTTAGAATTTTAGAATTTTAGAATTTTAGAATTTTAGAATTTTAGAATTTTAGAATTTTAGAATTTTTGGAATTTTCGGAATTTTAGAATTTTAGAATTTTAGAATTTTAGAATTTTAGAATTTTAGAATTTTAGAATTTTAGAATTTTAGAAGTTTCGAATTTTAGAATTTTAGAATTTTAGAATTTTAGAATTTTAGAATTTTAGAAGTTTCGAATTTTAGAATTTTAGAATTTTAGAATTTTAGAATTTTAGAATTTTAGAATTTTAGAATTTTAGAATTTCAGAATTTTAGAATTTCAGAATTTTAGAATTTTAGAATTTTAGAATTTTAGAATTTTAGAATTTTAGAATTTTAGAATTTTAGAATTTTAAAATTTCAGAATTTTAGAATTTCAGAATTTTAGAATTTTAGAATTTTAGAATTTTAGAAGTTTCGAATTTTAGAATTTTAGAATTTTAGAATTTTAGAATTTTAGAATTTTAGAATTTTAGAATTTTAAAATTTTAGAATTTTAAAATTTTAGAATTTTAGAATTTTAGAATTTTAGAATTTTAGAATTTTAGAATTTTAGAATTTTAGAATTTTAAAATTTTAGAATTTTAGAATTTTAGAATTTTAGAATTTTAGAAGTTTCGAATTTTAGAATTTTAGAATTTTAGAATTTTAGAATTTTAGAATTTTAGAATTTTAAAATTTCAGAATTTTAGAATTTCAGAATTTTAGAATTTCAGAATTTTAGAATTTCAGAATTTTAGAATTTCAGAATTTTAGAATTTTAGAATTTTAGAATTTTAGAATTTTCGAATTTTAGAATTTTAGAATTTTAGAATTTTAGAATTTTAGAATTTTAGAATTTTAGAATTTTAAAATTTTAGAATTTTAAAATTTTAGAATTTTAGAATTTTAGAATTTTAGAATTTTAGAATTTTAGAATTTTAGAATTTTAGAATTTTAAAATTTTAGAATTTTAGAATTTTAGAATTTTAGAATTTTAGAAGTTTCGAATTTTAGAATTTTAGAATTTTAGAATTTTAGAAGTTTCGTTTTTTTTATGATCAAACATCTTCTAGCAATACGTCGTTATTCAAACTTTTTTCAAAATTTCAAAATTTCAAAATTTTGGAAGATTTCGAAAAAAAAAGCTATTTTGCTATTTTTCTTTTTTTTTCGAATATTCTTCTGATTCACTTTTTGAACGCATTCTACTCGTTTTTCGAATTTCCCGCTCTTTTTTCAAAAAATCTCCGTTGAATTTATCCCTCGAAAATCAGGTTATGGGAGGTTCTGGCCTCTTTTTTAAAGGCGCATATCTCCAAAACTACAGTAGCCAGACGAAATCTGTAATTTATAAAAACTGTAAAATTTTATGCTGAGCAATGTTGAAGTTAACAACTTTTTGATAACTTTTTTGGTTTTCGAGATATGCGCCTTTAAATGTAAGCGATCGCCGCTTCCCGAGAGAAAGTGTCTGTGTCTCTTTAAAGGCGCATATCTCAAAAACTACAGTACCTACTAAAAATTGTAAATTCTAAAAATATGTATAATTTTATGTTGAGTAATTTTGTAGTTGAGCACTTTTTGATAAGTACCGTAGTTTTTGAGTTATGCGCCTTTAAACAACAGCTACTCGTTTCTCTGCGTCTCCCAAGCTTAAAGTTTAAAGGCGCATATCTCAAAAACTACAGTACCCATTCGAAAACTATAAACTACAAAAATGTGTAAAATTCTATGCTGAGCAATTTTGTAATTAACCGCTTTCTGATAGCTATCTGAGCTTTTGAGATACGCGCTTTTAAAAAATTCAGATTTCAAAATTTTGAATTTTTGCTTTTTTTTGTAAAAATTTCCACTTCCAAATCCAATTAAGACACTTTTAGTCCCAGAAAAAATCTCCACTTCCGGTTTTAGAAAAAAAAACATCCGCATCTTTTTTTCTGAGAAAAAAATTTTTCAGAGAAATTTTTTTGGGACACATCCCTCCCTTTAAATCAGATTTCCTCTGCTATACGGCCAAAAAAGAATTTCTGATGTCGTCTTTTTGATTTTCTTTTTTTCTCTAAATCTCTGTTTTCCAAAAAAAAAATTTTTCAGAAAAAACTATGTATTTCCTACAATTAATTTCCGTTTTAATATCGATGAAAATTGGTCATGTGAGGTCCAGTCGGCTGTTACAACAACACAATCATTATAATCATGATGATGGATATGTTAAAGGTGGGAAATTATAAAAATTTTGAACTTGTGAGCTCATGAGCTTTGAAATGAGCCTAAACACGACTCAAATTGGTCAATTTTGATTTTTGACCAAAAACAAGCGACGCGCGACCGCGACGCACCCGAATTTTCAAAGTTGTTCAAATCTTGTCGTGTTTGGGCTCATTTCGAAGCTCTCAGCTTTCTGCATTCGATTTTTGACAAGAAAATTGAAAATTCTCAAGTTTTCCCATTTTTTGAAAGTTTCGAAAATTTTCAGACAAGAAATTTTCAGTCATAAAACGCTTCGAAATAGAGCAAACGGCTGGAAAACTACATTTTTGGATTTCTGAAACTGTGAGCTTTGAAATGAGCCTAAACACGACTCAAATTGGTCTATTTTGATTTTTGACCAAAAACACGCGACGCGCGACCGCGACGCACCCAAATCTTCAAAGTGAATCAAATCTGGTTGTGTTTAGGCTCGTTCTGAAGCTCTCAGCTTCCCAAACTCAAATCTTTACCTACAAATCCAAAAATTTTAAGCTTTTCCCTTCAAATTGAGCCCTAACATGACTAGATTTGCTCAATTTCGAATTTTTTGAAAACAAATTTTCAAAAAAATAGTTTTTATGTTTTTTTCCAAATTTCCAAATATCCAGATGTCCAAAATATTCAGCAGAACCAACACATTTAATCGAGACAATACAACGACGATATGATAAACGCGTAAGACCATTCGCCGAAACGAATCGACCAGTGATAGTACATATGACAATTGTTTTGGGCATTTTGACAGAAGTGGTGAGTGTTTTTTTATTTGAAAATGTAAAATTCGGATTTGGCTCTCCGAGAGCTTCAAAATGAGCACAAACACGACTAGGTTCCGCCCACTTTGAATTTCCCATATGACACGCGACGCACGACCGCGACGCACGACCGCGACGCGTTCAAAAACTCAAAGTGGGCGGCGCTTAGTCGTGTTTAGGCTCATTTTGAAGCTAGAATTTTAAAAAATCTGAATTTTGCATAATCAGCGCTTCAAAAATAAGCCCAAATACGCCTAAGCTCCGCCCACGTTGGAATTTGGACCCCTGAAAGTGGGCGGAGCCTAAAAATGCCAGATTCAAAAGTAAAAATAGGGGTGTTTGGGGCCATTTCAAAGCTTAAAATTTGAAAAACTTGCTTATTGCACCCTCAAAGCTCCAAAATGAGCCAAAACTTGCCTAGGCTCCGCCCACTTTGAAATATGGACCCCATATGAAAAGGGGGCGGAGCCTAACTAACCCTAATTAAATGGAAAAATAGGCGTGTTTGAGCTCATTTTGAAGCCCATAACCTCTGGAATTGAAATTCGTGACCTATATTTGTTCATTTTCAGCGAGAAAACCAACAAGTCGCCTCTTTCGTCATTTCACATGTTCAGAAATGGCGGGACCCGAAACTAGCGTGGAATCCGGCGGACCATTCTGGATTGACACAAGTTGTGATGCCGAGAAGTTTAGTATGGGTACCAAAATTGTTTATTTATAATAGGTGAGCTGTTTAAATGGGAAAAAAATCAAAAAAAATTATATTTTCAAACTTGCTAGTGTTTGGGCTCATTTTGGAGCTTCAATTTTCAAACTTATGGATTTTTAACTATAAATTCAAAATTTTCATGTTGTTAGCTTTAAAACGAGCCCAAACACGCCCTGAATCCGTTCATTTTGATTTTTGATCTAAAAACCGCGACGCACGACCGCGACGCGTCTAGACTTTCAAATTTGAGCAAACTTAGGCGTGTTTAGGCTCATTTTGACGCTCTCAATCAACAAAATTCAGATTTCGCAGTCGAAATTCAAAATCAGCTCGTTCTAAGCTTCAAAATGAGCCCAAACATGACTAACACAATTTTTGCCAAAAATGTTTTCTTTTTCAAAAAACAGTCGTGTTTGGGTTCATTTTGAAGCTCCAAACTTGAAAATTTTGAATTTTTAATCAAAAATCCAGAATTGTCAAAATTTTAATTTCAAAATGAGCCTAAACACGCCCTGAATCAGTCCATTTTGATTGTTGACCTAAAAACCGCGACGCACGACCGCGACGCTCTCGAAATTTCAAAATTGAGCAAACCTAGGCGTGTTTAGGCTCATTTTAAAGCTCTCCATCAGCCAAATTCAAATTTTAAGTTCAAAATTCAGAATCAGCTCATTCGGAGCTTCAAAATGAGCCTAGACATGACCAATCTTAAATTTCAACGATTTATTTTCGAATTGTCGCAAAATTGCTCATTTTTCTCCAGAAATGGTCATGTTTGGGCTCATTTCAAAGTTTGCAACCTCCTTAATTTGAACATCATAACGATTTCCAGCATGGACACAAAAGACATGCTAACCGACGATCGATACGATGTACGCATCCAACATACGGGTCATGTCAAAGTGAATTCGCCTCAATTCGTCAGTACACTATGTCGAATCAATATCGATTTATTCCCATTTGACACGCAATTCTGTGCAATTGCTCTCGCCAGTCCATTGTTATCTGTTGAGGAAATGGATGTAAATGCGACACAGCCACCTGTGGACTCTTATTTTTCGGTGAGTACTAATTTTCAAAAAATCATAACTCCGTAAGTTTTGGTCCATTTTTTGTGAAAAATATACCATTGAATTTGTCACAAAAAGAGCTTCAAAATGAGTCTAAACACGATTCGTTTTGATCGGTACTGACTTTTCGGGCGCGTCGCGGTCGTGCGTTGCGTGTCAGAACTTCAAAGAGGCGTAGCTCCGCTAGTTTTACGCCAATTTTTACAAAAGTTACACTATTGTGTGTGATAGGAGAAGAGCTTCAAAATAAGTTTAAACACGTCTATTTTCGATTAATATTGACTTTTCGGGCGCGTCGCGGTCGTGCGTAGCGTGTTGGCAACTTCGAAGGGGTCTAGCGCTGCTAGTTTTGGGCCAATCTCTATAAAAGTTATATCATTGATTTTGTTACGATAAGAGCTTCTAAATGAGTATAATCATTAATATATTTAGATAACATTTGCATTTTGGATTTTTACCGATTTTGAAAAAAAAATCGGCTCAAAAATTTCAAAACGGCATAGCTTCTCTAGTTTTGCTTTAATTTTCATGAAATTGAAAACATTGTGTTTGTCTTGGAAAGAGCTTCAAAATAAGCCTAAACACGACTAGTTTTGTTGATATCGATTTTTGGGTGCGTCGCGGTCGTGAGTCGCGTGTCAGAGGTGTAACTTCAACTTTGAGCTCAATTATCTCAGTTCCCGTAAGAGACATCAAAAAACTGTCAACTGATAAATTGTTACGGATTTCATGTCAAACATTTTTATAGTTAGCAATGTTTTGATACCACTTACAGTAACCGAGATAATTAAGCTCAAAGTTAAAGGTTGCGATTTTGACTTAAAATGGCTTAAAATCGTTCAAAATCGCTGAAATTTCCAATTTCCAGGGCAACGCCGAGTGGCAAGTGATGAATGTGACCGTCAAACAAATGAAATTCATGGAAGAGGGCGAATATCGGGCCGAAGTTCATTACATTCTTCATCTCAACCGAAGACCCACCTACTACATTACCGTAATCGTCGTTCCCACATTTCTAATCTCCGCCTTGTCGATTTTGGGCATTTTCTCGCCTGGATCAAACGACGGTCCACGGAATGAAAAAGTGTCTCTGGGACTTGGTTCCCTGTTGGCCATGACCGTACTCCTCGACATTGTGGCCGGTGCCATGCCCAAAAGTGATGCTATCCCATTGCTAGGATACTATATCATGCTGGTTATCCTTTTATGTGCAATCGGGGTCGCCGTATCCATGGCCATGTTGTCCATGTCAAGATCCTGCATTCAAACTTCCAAAATGCCACCTGTACACTATTATCGATTGCTTTTTCTGAACGTTTGTCGAGTGGTGAAACAGAATGGAGGCGGTGTTAATGGTGTTGGTGAGATGAATGAGAAGCCTACTACGATTACGTGAGTTTTGATTTAAAATATCACATTTGTGAGCTTCTGAGCTTCAAAATGAGCCCAAACACAACTGCTTTTGCTTTAAAACTAGCCTCATGAGGCTCCGCCCCCTTTTAGGGGTCCAAATCTGGAATTGGCCGGATCTTAAGCGTGTTTAGGCTCATTTCAAAGCTCAAAAAATGTCAAATTCAGATTTACTAGGTTTCAAGCTTCAAAATGAGCCCAAACACGCGTATGCTCCACATTCTTCGGAATTTGGATACCTAAAAGGGGGGGGGGGGCGGAGCCAAAGAAGACCGAATTTAAAGTGAAAATAGGCGCGTTTAGGCTCATTTTGATGCCTGAAATGTGCAAAATTCAAATTAATTATGTTCCGAGCTTCAAAATGAGCCTAAACATGACTATTTTTCAAAAAAAAAATGTTTTTAAAAATTTCAAAAAACTCATTTTCAGCCCTAAAACGCTCCAAAGAAAAGCAATTGGCTGCAAAACCAAAATTTCAGATTTCTGAGCTTGTGAGCTTTGAAATGAGCCCCAACACGGCACAAATCTGTCAATTTTGATTTTTGGCCCAAAAAACGCGACGCGCGACCGCGACGCACCCGAAAATTGAAAATACACAGTATCCTATCGTGTTTGGGCTCATTTTGATGCTCTCACTGAGCTAAATTTGATTTTTTTCTTGAAAAACTAAAAATTCTCACATTGTCCCCCTCAAATTGGGACTAAACATGACGATGTTTCGGTAATTTCGTCCATGTTTAGGCCTATTTTAAAGCTTAAAACAGCTTATTCCGGATTTTAATGTTAAAATTAACATTTGACTCATCAAGAGCTTCATAATGAGCCTAAACACGGCTAGGCTTGCTCCATTTTGAAATTCCCGGCGCGTCGCGGTCGTGCGTCGCGTTTTTAGGTCAAAAATCAAAATTGACGGAATTGGGGCGTGTTTGGGCTCATTTTGAAGCTAGAAACTCAGAAATTTCAAATTTTTAGTGTAAAAAACTTCAAAGAGAGCCTAAAAATGACTATTTAACAAAAGTTTCAACCAAAAAAAAATAATATTTTCAGCCCCCGCTTCCCGGACCTCATATCGATCTACAATCAACTGATTGAAGTGGCACGGGCTCAAAGAACATATCGAGAAAGGATTGAAAAACAGAAGTGGCAGCATCGGGTGAGAAATTTAAAATTTGAAATTTTCAAAAAAATTTTTGAAAATTTGAATTTTTCAAATTTTGAAAAATCAAAATTGTTCAAATATGATAATGTTTGGGTTCAAAATGTTCGATATTTTATGGAAAAACTGATTTTTAGGTTTAAATAAACCTAGACTCTTTTTTTTGAAAAACCAGTGAAATTTTCGAAAAAAAAAAATTTCATTTTGGGTTTTTTTCGAAATTTCTCTCTGAAATATTGATTGTCAAACTGATTTAGCTCGTGATATCAATTTTTATCACACTTAGACGATTTTGAAATTTCTCGAAAAAAAATTTCCAAAAATTCCAAAAAATCTGAATTTTTCGAAAAATCATCGATTTTTGATCATTTTTATTGTGAAATTCGAATTTCCCACTCATTTTTACCCCGAAAACAACAGTTTTTAAGCATTCTGTGCATTTTGTCGTAAGGTTCGGTGTTTCGGTTGGTGTTTGCACAGAAACGGCGCTACAGTAACCCAAAAGAAAAGCTAACGACGCAGAAAAATGCACACTGGGGTGAAATTTTGTGGGAAATCAGAATATGACAATTAATACCTTCAGAAACTTCCAGAAAATCCACAAATTCAAAATTTTCTGGAAAAAAAAACACTTTTTTCGTGCAAAAGTCATTTTTGACTAGTTTTTGAGGGTTTTCGCAGTCTGTCACTACGAAATTGGATTTTTCCACCTATTTTCACCCCTAAAACGCCTATTTTTGAGCATTCTGTGCATTTTGTCGTAAGGTTCGGTGTTTCGGTTGGTGTTTGCACAGAATCGGCGCTACAGTAACCCGAAAACTCGAAATTAAGAGTCAGAGATGCAAAAAAGTAGTTTTTAGGGTAGTTTTTGATGGGAAGTTCGAATTTGATATTGATTTTTAGCTAAATCTAAAACTTTTCGGAAAAAATTGAAAAATTTCAAAAAAATAAATTTCTCAATTTTCGAATTTTTTTTTGGAATTTTGTTTGGGAATATTGATTTTCAGACCATTTTAGGCCGTGATATTGATTTTTATCACAATTGGAGCATTTTGAAATTTTTCAAAAAAAAAATTTTTTTTTTGAAAATTTTCAAAATTTCCCTATTTTCAGGTCGAAATCGAATGGAACAAAATCTTCGCGCGTATCGATTTTTTCTTCCTATTTTTGTTCGAAATGTTCAACGTCCTGGTTTTGGTGCTTTTCCTTCGCTACGCGTTTCTTCCCGTCCCACCGCTACCGGAAAATTTTTCAATTTGAAAATTTTTTTGAATGTACAGTAACCCCCTACTGGTCCTCAACATCTCCTTCCCATGTATTAATGTTTTCGGGTTTTTCTAAATAAAAATAAATTTTATTATGTACAAAAAATTATTTTCAGCCAGAAAAAAATTTTTTGGCTGAAATTCAAAATTTTCAGACAAATTCAGAAAAAAAAACATTCAAAAGAGCATGGTGGCAATATCGGCTGGATGTACACGAAGACCGGATGACGATGGATTACTGTAGTTCTGGGTTACTGTAGTTGAGAAATTGGAATTTGTGGTTACTGTAGTTGAGGTGGAAAATGAAGATGGAGCAGATTGGGAGTACATGGAATTGGTGGCTGAAAATTTTGAAAACAAAGTATTCGAAAAATGGATTACTGTAGTTTTTGAAAATTTTTGAAAACTCCAAAAATTATTTTTTTCAAAATTTCGAAAAAAATTTTTTTTCAAATTTTCGTTTTTTCGGAATTTTTCACTAGAATATTGATTTTTAGGCCATTCGAGCTCGTGATATCAATTTTTGTCAAAATTGGACAATTTTGAAATTTTTTGAAAAAAAATTTTTTTTCGAAAAATTTCGGAAAACCATCGATTTTGGATTGATTTTATTGCGAAATTCGAATTTCTCGCCTATTTTTACCGCTACAACCAAATTTTTGAACGATTTGTGCATTTCGTCGTAAGGTTCGGTGTTCCGGTTGGTGTTTGCACAGAATCGGCGCTACAGTAACCCGAAGAGAGAGCTAACGACGCAGAAAAATGCAATCTAGGGTGAAATTTTGTGGGAAATCAGAATATGACAATTAATTTCTTCAAAAACTCCCAAAAAATCCACAAATTCAAAATTTTCTGGAAATATCCTTTTTTTTCGTGCAAAAGTCATTTTTGACTAGTTTCTGAGAGTTTTCGCAGTTTTTCATTGCAAAATTCGAATTTCTCGCCTTTTGTTACCCCCCAAAACCTCCTTTCTGAGCGATTTGTGCATTTTTTCGTAAGGCTCGGTGTTTCGGTGCGGTGTTTGCACACAATCGGCGCTACAGTAACCCGAAAACTCGAAATTAAGAGTTAGTGACGCAGAAAAATGCATTTCAGGGCAGTTTTTGATGAGGAATTCGAATTTGATTCTGATTTTCAGCTAAATTGGATATTTTTTTGAAAAAAGTGAATTTTTCAAAAAAATAATTTTTTTGAATTTTTAACTTTTTTTGAAAATTTGAAACTTAATATTGGTTTTCAAGCCATTTTAGCTCGTCATATCAATTTTCATCACAATTGGAGGATTTCGAAAAATTCAAATTTGGCGCCAAAATATAAACTTTCGTAGAAGTTCCTACCTGATGCATTATTTGAGCCAAAACCACTCCATGAATGAGAATTATGGCAATTTTCAGACGATTTCGACGATGAGGATAACATTTTCAGCACAGAATTACAGAAAAAATTTTTTTTTTTCGAAATCTGAAATTTAAGATTGCCCATTTTTATACTGTGTTTTATTTCTATTTTTTGACGGGTCTTGTTTGCGTGGGTAGACAATTCAAGACCATTTCAGGATCATAATAATATTTACTTAATAGAACTTGTGTTTTTTTTTTAAATTTCTAGATTTTTGCAATATTTAGGCTCATTTTGAAGCTTGAAATTCGCTGATTTTGAATTTTGAGCTATAAATTTGAATTCAGCAAGTTATTAGCTTCAAAATGAGCCCAAACACGACTAGGCTCCACCCACTTCAAGTTTTGGACCTCTAAAAGGGGGCGGAGCCTAAGAAGACGACGAATTTGTAGTTAAAATAGGCGTGTTTGGGTTCATTTTGAAGCCTGGAATATGCAAAATTCAAGTTTGCCATGTTTCGAGCTTCAAAATGAGCCTAAACACGACTATTTTTAAAAAAATAAAGTGTTAAAAAAATTTCAGAAAACCAATTTTCAGCCCTAAAACGCTCCAAAAAAATAGCAATTGGCTCCAAAACCAAAATTTCAGATTTCTGAGCTTGTTAGCTTTAAAATGAGCCCCAACACGACACAAATCCGTCAATTTCGATTTTTGACCAAAAAACGCGACGCGCGACCGCGACGCGCCCGAAATTTGGAACTTCACCGAATCTAGTCGTGTTTAGGCTCATTTTGAAGCTCTAAAACAACCAAAACTAAATTTACACTTGAAAATTGGGAATCAGCTCATTCTAAGCTGCAAAATGAGCCTAAATAAGACTATTTTTGGAATTTTTGAAATTTGGTCATGTTTAGGCTCATTTTGAAGCTAAAAACGAGCTGATTTCAAATTTTGAACCCAATATCTAAATTGGGGAGGTTAAGAGCTTCAAAATGAGCCTAAACACGCCAGGATTCGGGCGAATTTGAAATTTCGGACGCGTCGCGGTCGTGCATCGCGGTTTTCAGGTCAAAACTAAAAATTAACGGATTTGGGGCGTGTTTGAGCTCATTTTGAAGCTAAAACCTTGAAAATTCTAGATTTTTCATATTTAGAGCTTCAAAATGAGCCTAAACGTGACTACTTTTCAGAAAAAAAATCCAAAATTTCGAAAAAAAAAGTTTGGAATTTTTTTCAAATTTTCTGCCTAAAAATCTAACAATTTCAGATTTTTTGGATTATTTTTCACAATTTCAAGATTTTAATGAGATTTTTAAAACTAAAAAAATCAAAATTTCTGGCTCCAAAATGTGCAATTTCCATCCACTTATATAGGACTGTGCATCTTTATTTGTTGTCTTCCGATCTTTTCTCCGATTTCTAATCGTAAAAAATGATATTGCGAAATGTCCCTTTTTTGCACACAATGACGTCTTCTTTTTCGGGCTACTGTAGACACCGCGATTGTCCATTTGGTTTGTTGATCAACCTAAAATGAGTCATAAAAAGAGCGAAAGAAACGGAGAAAAGTACACAAAAAAAACTGGGTCAAGATTGCCAACAAACTATAATTTATTACATGAAAAATGAAGGAAAAGAAAACACGTGGCGATTTTTAGAAACAAAAAAAAGAGAATTTTGGAGAGAGGAGCTAGAAGATGTAGAATCGAAGAAGACGTCGTCGTCTATTCCTTTCCAAGAGCACGCTCCTCGGCCTCAATCTCCGAAATGCGCTTCTGGTGACGGTCGAGAACCTGGAAAAACACAGTTTAGGCCGATTAGACTATTCTAGCATAATTTTAGGCTATTTTAAGCCAATTTTAGACAATTCTAGGTTAATTTTAGCCCTATTATAGACCAATTTTAGACCATTCTGGGTTAATTTTAGGCTATTTTAAGCTAATTCTAGGCCATTGTAGGTTAATTTTGGGCTATTTTAAGCTGATTCTAGGTCATTCTAGGTTAATTTTAGGCTATTTTAAGGCCAATTTCAGACAATTCTAGGTTAATTTAGGGCTATTTTAGGCCAATTTTAGACCATTCTAAGTTAATTTTGGGCTTTTCTAAGCCAATTCTAGGTCATTCGAATTAATTTAAGGCTATTTTAAGCCAATTTTGGACCAATCTAGGTGAATTTTGAGCCGTTCTAGACAAGGTTTCGGACCCTTTTCGACCCAATTTGAGTCGTTTTAGACCAATTTTGGACTATTTTAGGCCGATTTTAAACCTTTTTAGACCAATTTTCGGCCATTTTATGTAATTTTCGGACCATATGAGACCATTTTAGGCCAATTTGAGGCTAATTCCGGACCCCCTAGATCAATTTTGGACGATTTTAACTTGGAATGAAACATTTAAAAGCCATTTTGGGTATTACTAGACAAAGTTTGGAACATTTTAAGTCATTTTAGGTTAGTTTTCGGCCATTTTAGACAAATTTCAAGCATAAAATTGTGAATTTTCACGGTTTATATCGAGTCTTAATGGGCTTTAGAGGTAGAAAAATAGCCTCAAATCGACAAAAATCATGGTTTTTTGACCTAATTAGCTGATTTTATTAATCCCAGGGTATCTCGAAAAAATGTCCTTTTTAGCTAATAAACTAGTTAAAATCGATTTTTAGAGCCCAAAAATCACTAAAATCGCAAGATAGCGAATTTTTCAAAATTTTTGAGAAGAAATTCTGTTTTCTGATTGAAAACTAGGCAGAAATCTTGTTTTTAGGCTCCATTCTCAACTCTTGAAGCAAATTTTCCGCAATTTCCGCTTATTTCAAATTTAGAAGCTTTACAGCCTTTGGAAGAGGCAAAAATAGTTTTTTTTTTCTAATTTTTAGAGCTTAATACTGGAAGTCTAGCAGTTTTCTAGTCTAGAGACTCAATTCCTATCGATTTTAGCCTTACCTTCTGGTGATTCTCCAACTGGCTCTTATGATGATCGACCTCCTGTTGGATGTGCTTGCGGAGCTCTTCGAGTTGAGCCTTCTGCTTCTTGTAAAAGTACTCGTCCTCACGGGCGGCCTCCATCTTTCCGAACGCGCCTCCGGCATCGCGAATCGATCCACCGGAGCCACCACCACGTCCGGCTCCGTCTCCGTGTCCACCGGTCGAGAAGCGGGCGACAACGCCGGTCATGCGGCTAGCGACTCGAGAAACGCTGAGCATTCTGAAAGAAAATTGGCTTGAAATCGGTTAAAAATGAAGGAAAATTGAATTTAAGACAGCGAAAACGAGTAAAAACGAGCAAAGTGAGAAAAATTGAATAAAAACCATAATTTTGGCCTGAAATTCGTCAATTTAGGCCTAAAAATCATCTCATAGTCATCAAAATGTCCTAAAATACAACTTAAAGCTTGAGAAAACTCGAAAATTCTGAAAACTTTAAAGCCAAAAATATTGCCAAAAAAAATCGAAAAAAACCACTTTTTAGGCCTAAAATGCACCATTTTCATCATTTTTTGCATAAAAATCACCTCAAAACCATCAAATTTACCTAAAATATGACCAAAAATCTTGGAACTTGAGAAAAATCCAAAAAATTCCGAAAAACACTTTTTCCGTTACTTTTCAGAATTTTTCACCGAAATTGCATCGTTTTCAGCACTTAAATCCTCTATTTTCACCTGAAAACTGACAGAAAACGTGATTTTCGGCAAAAAAAAATATGTCAACAAAATTGCAAAAAATCACATGATTTTTATCGATTTTTTGGGGGCGAAACCCATTTTAAAGCTTTTTTGACCTAAAAAATCAATTTTTCGGCAAAAAATTTGGTCTGAAACCCCCTAAAATAGGCTGAAAACTGTCTCTGAAAATGGGCAAAGGAAGATGCGCGACGCGCGAATTCTGTGCATTTGTGCGTAGAGTGTGGTGCAGGTGTGACCGAGAAACACCGAATCTTACGACGGAATCCTGTTGTTGTTTATTTTTGGGAATTAGACGTTTTGGGCTGAAAATTTAGCGGATTTTTGGAGTTTTCGGAGGTTTTAAAGTGAAAATTTGATAGAAAAATCGATTTTCGATAAATTTAAACCTAAAATTTGCAATATTTCAGGTAAAATTAGTATTTTTATCTAAAAATTTAAAAATTACAAAAATTCGAATTTTCCAATGAAATAAGGTGTTTCTAGCCTAAATATAGGTTGAAAAAATTTTAATTTTCGGAAAAAAAGGCCTAAAAACTCAAAAAAAACCCGAAAAATGAAAATTTTCAATTTTTCAGAAATATTTTTTCGTTTAAGGTTTTCACCCTATTTTTGGCTATTTTCCATCAAATTTGACATGAAAAACGCTTCAAAATTCAAATTTCCGCTCTATTTTCACCGCAAAACATCAAAAATCTACGGAAACACCACTGCAAACATGTGATCCAAGCAGAGAAAACAAGAAAAATGGGAAAATAGAGGCGAGAGAGCACGGGAAACGAAGCGACGCAGACACATTTAGAGGGGAGACGCAGACAGCGAGAGATGGAAAATGGGGGAACAGAAAGAGAAAAGACGGGGAATCGATTCGGTTTTTAGTGTCCGAAAGCTGTTTGGGCTTGTTTTTTGCGGAAATTTTAGGTTTTTAGGCAATTTTAAGACGAAAAATCTATTTTTTCAGAGAATTTTAAGTCTGGTATTGGCTGAAAATTGATTTTTTAGAGTTTTAAAACTTGGAAAAAAATATTTTCCCAAAAAACATTTTTTTCTAAAAAAAAATTGAAAGAAAATGAAATTTCTAGATTTTTAAAGAATTTTTTAATTTTTTGAAAATCTGAAAATGTCTGGAATTTCAGAAAAAAAACCATTTTTCTGAAAATTTCGAAAATTTTTTTTTTGCAAAATCGAATTTTCAGAAACATTTCAGTTTGAATTTCAGTGCTGAAAATGCTACAAAAATCTGAAAATAATGCTTTTTCAAAAATATTTTCAAAAAAAATTTCTGAAAATTTCCGAAATTTTCTATTTTTTCAAAAAATTTCAAATTTTGCTGAAAATCAATATTAAATTCGAATTCCTCACCAAAAACTACCCTAGATTGCCTTTTTCTGCGTCTCTAACTCTCAATTTCGAGTTTTTGGGTTACGGTAGCGCCGATTCTGTGCAAACACCAACCAAAACACCGAACCTTACGACAAAATGCACAGAATGCTCAAAAACGCGGGTTTGGGGGGAAAAATAGGCGGGAAATTCAAATTTTTCAATAAAAACCATCCAAAATCGATGGTTTTCACGAAAAATGAGATTTCAGAAAATTTCGAAAAAAAAATTTTTCTAGAAATTTTCAAATTGTCCAACTGTGATAAAAATTGATATCACGAGCTGAAATGGCTTGAAAATCAATAATCTAGAAAAAATTTCAAAAAATTCAAAAATTGAAAGTTGTTTTTTCCGAAAATTTCCCTTTTTCGAAAAAATTTCAGATATGGAAAAAAAATAATTTCAAATTCGAGTTTCCCATTAAAAACTACTTTAGAATGCACTTTTCTGCGTCTCTAACTCTTAATTTCAAGCTTTCGGGTTACTGTAGCGCCGATTCTGTGCAAACACCAACCGGAACACCGAACCTTACGACGAAATGCACAAATCGTTCAAAAATTTGGTTGTAGCGGTAAAAATAGGCGAGAAATTCGAATTTCGCAATAAAAATCATCCCAAATCAATGGTTTTCTCAAAAAATGAGATTTCAGAAAATTTCAAAAAAAAAAATGTTCCAGATTTTTTTTCTTAAATTTCCCTGAAATTCTTCTTTTTTTAACACAAAAAATCAATAATTTTTTTCAGAAAACTACTGAAAATGGGCCGAAAATTTGTGTGTTTTACTGGTAAATTTGAATATTTTGAAAAAAAAAAAACAAAAATTTTTAAAAAATTCCAGAAGTTCGCGGAGAGTCCGTGGGATGTGCCGGGTGTCGTACCTATATCACTTGTGAGAAAGAAATCACCAGTAACGCGTTTACCGGTGAGCAATCGACTGAAAAAATCCAGAAAATTCCAGAAAAAATGACTGAAAATGACCGAAAATTGAAAAAAGTTTGTGAAAATTTGAATTTTTTGAATTCCCGCCAGATCAAATCTAGCTGAAATTTTGAAAAATCTCATTCAGGAAGTACCGGAAGTGCGACACTATTCAAAAAAGCATGGAATATTTATCATGGAGAACTGGGGAAGCGAGAAATGACCACTGGTGTGCATATGGTTCGCGATGTGCATTGCTCGAATTGCCGGGTAAGGCATTTTTGGCGCCAAATTCAAATTTTCAAGAGTTGTAACCCAAAAAATCGGAATTGTCATAGCGGAACACCCCCATTTCCAACAAAAAACGTCTAAAAACACTTAAAAATGGTTGAAAATGAACGTGGCCGAGTTTTGGTTTTCTAGGCCATCAATCGAAAACAGCCTAAAAATGCGTTTTTCGGTTGAAACAAAGTCGAAATTTGAGTTCCTCGACCCTGAAACCCCTATTTTCGGTTTTAAAACAACGAGATTCGGTTAAAAATGGCTTAAAATGAATGTGACCGAGTTTTGGATTTCTAGGCCACCAACCTTTTAGACCGAAATAAAGTCAAAAATTGAATTCCCTGAGCTTGAAACCCCTACTTTCAGTTTTTGAACGACGAGAATCGGCTGAAAATGGCTGAAAATGAACGTGGCCGAGTTTTGGATTTCTAGGCCACCACTCTTAAAATGCCGTTTTGGCTGAAATTGACTGAATTTTTGCTCTAAAACACGGGGTGCTTATTGAAAATCGCTCCGGAAAAAGCTAAAAAACTCGAAATCACGTTTTTTGGAATTCTAGGCCACCTAGAGCCGAAAACTCGGCCGCGTTCAAATTTGCTTCAAAATGCATGATTTTGAGCTCAAATTTGACGGAATATAGACTGCAAAAGCTCGTTTCGCAGCCTAAATCATTCAAAATTTGAAAAATAAGCTTTTTGGGTTTCTAGGCCACCAAAACTCGGCCGCGTTCATTTCTGGGCTAAAAATTCGATTTTTGACTAAATTTTTTGTAAAATTGACAAAATATGCTTCGAAATAACATAAAACTCAAAAAAATCCCAATTTTTCGGTTTAGAGTCTTCTAGGCCACCAAAACTCGGCCATCATTGTTTTTAGAGATTTGAGAGCTAAAAATCAATTTTTACGGGTTTCTAGTCTGAAAAACCCAATTTTTTGCTTATTTCCAGGGTATTTTCAGCCAAAAAACCCAATTTTTTCAGAAAAAGCTCGGTTGGATGTACGAATTCGCTCTGGTCGAATCGCAAACCTATAAAGAGGGTCAGGTAATTCTGGAAAACGCCCTGGTAGTGCCCCTACAACGAGGAATACCAGATCCGATATCGGAAAATGAGTAAGTTGTTAAAAACCAAAAAAAAACCCCCTTTTTTGAGATTTTTATCCCAAAAATTGACTATTTTAGGTTAAATTCTAGTTTTCCTGTGATTTTCAGCAAAAAAACGCTTCTCTAGCTCAAAAATGAGCTGAAAATCACGATTTTCAGCCCACGAAACCGTTGGCCGAGTTCTGGTGGCCTAGATTTTTTCCGTTTTTTCTTCATTTTTTACCGTTTTCTTCGTTTTTTGAGGTTTCCGACCTCAAAAAATCGATATTTAGTATATTTTTACCCTGCAAACCTTGTTTTTTTCAACTTTTAAAGCTGAAAATCGTGATTTTCAGCCCGAGAAACCGTTGGCCGAGTTCTGATGGCCTAGAAAACTCCAGACCTCGGCCAGCTCAATTTTTTTCGTTTTTTTCTCCATTTTCAACCGTTTTTCGTGATTTTTAGGGGTTTCCGACCTCAAAAAATCGATTTTCTGTGTGTTTTTTAACAGAAAACTATGTTTTTCCCATTTTTTAGCCCCAAAATTCTCATTTTTCAGTAAACGCCCTCCAACAACGCCTCCCATCGAGACCGCCCGTCATCGGACGTCGTCTGGAATGAGTAGTCGTACGAATTCAGAATCCAGCACGTCGTCACACTCATCGTCGTCGGATTTTCATCGGAAACATTGAAAATTTTTTGGATAATTTTTTTTTTGAATTTTTCACTTTTTTGTCTAAAAATCTTGTATATATTGTTATTTCTGTATGTTTTCAAAGTAAAAATGAGTAAAAAATCGATTTTTTGAGTCGAAAAACCTTAAAAAACCATGAAAAATGGTCCAAAGTGGTCAAGAAAGTGATGGCCGAGTTCGGTGGCCTAGAAAATTCCAAAACTCGGCCATGGTGGTTTTTCGTCGATTTTTTCTGGTTTTTCGGCGATTTTTAGGGATTTTAGACTCGAAAATCTCGATTTTAAGATTATTTTCACCCTAAAAACTCATTCTCCCACTTTTTATCTTAGAAAATATATTTTCTCAAAAAATAAGTTTTTTGAAAATTTTGACTTCCCGCCCGATTAGCTTAGCTTTTATCTGTACATTTTTTTTAAACCAACATCTGAATATTTGATTTTTTTTTTCTTTCAAATTATCTCAGATTCTTTTTTCCCGAGTTTTCCTTGGAATTTTTTCCTTTTTTGTCATTTTATACTCAAAAATCTGAATTTTTCAACTTAAAAACCAGAAAAAACGCGAAAAATGACTAAAAAACCTCGTTTTTTAGCGGAAAATTCCAAAATTTCGACCCCTGCTACCAGTGGCCGAGTTTCGGATTTTTCTAGGCCACCCATGAAAAAAAACTCGGCCACCAGCACTTTTTCTCGAAAATCGGTCTTTTTCATCGTTTTTTTCTGGTTTTTTCGGATTTTCCGGGCCAAATTTTCGATTTAAAACTGAAAAAATCGGTTTTAAATTCAAAATTTGGTCTAGAAAATCCAAAAAAGTGGATTTGGAGCCGAAAAATTCAGATTTCGCAATTTTCATCATTTTTTCTTTTGAATTCTTGTATAAAAACTGGCATTTCTCTATTCAATTTTGCTGTTTTTCAGCCGATTTTCATGTGATTTTCTCGGTTTTCAGCCGGTTTTTATCGATTTTTCTGAAAATTTCAGATTTTTTCGAAAAAGTTCAATTTCCAGGTAACGCCGAATGGGTTTAAAGTTCTTCGATGTCGTCGCGTCGGAGTTGAGCTACGTTTGTGCTACGTGTCAAATCTATTTGACCAATAAGAGTGAGATTGTGTCGACTAGTTTTTCGGGTAGGTCGATTTTTTTTGGAATAAGTCAATTTAAGAGTGAAAAAGCTGGAAAAACATGGTTTTGAGGTCCAAAATTAGGTTTTGAGGCAATTTTAACTCTTAAAATCGCTTTAGAGAAGCATTTTAGGCCAGAAAACATGATTTTTAAGGCAAAAAAATCGAAAAAAAAATTTTTTCGAAAAATTTAAAACTTTCGCTATTTTAATGATTTTTGGCCTATTTGGACCAGAAAAACACGATTTTCAAGCCAATTTTCAGCCAAAAACCGCTATTTTCAGTCAAAAATCGATTTTTCAGGCATTACTGGCCCGGCGATCCTCTTCAAACACGTGAAGAACATCAGACATGCCACACTGGAACAACGTCTCCTAATGACGGGATCCCATTTCGTTCGAGACATTTTTTGTGCGAATTGCAATGATAGTCTGGGATGGACCTATGAATACGCGTCAGACAACAAGGAACGATATAAAGAAGGTTTGGGATGGGAGAATGAGAGAAAAAACGCTAAAAATCGCTGAAAATGGGCGGAAATTCCAGAAAAATCGACTGAAAATGGTCCAAAATGAGCTGAAATAGACTAAAAATGGTCCAAAATTCATCGAAAATTCCAAAAATTGACTGAAATTTGACTGAAATTGAGCTAAAAATCATGGAAAAAAATTGTCCAAAATGAGCCAAAATGTTAAAAAATGGTCAAAAAAGAGCTGGAAAACCCGGAAAAGCGCTAAAAATCATCGGAAATTCCAGAAAAAATGGTGTGAAATGGCCCAAAATGAGCTGAAACAGGCTAAAAATGACTGAAAATTCTAGAAAAATCGCTGAAAATCGCTGAAAATAGACCTAAAACTACGAAAAATGAGCCAAAATTCATAAAATTGCCGATTGCTCATGCTTAAATTGGCCGTAAATCTGAAAAAAAAAAAATTTTCAATTTTTGATTTTTGAAAATTTCAGTTTTTTTCAATTTTTGAAATTTTTAGAATTCAAAAAATTCTGATTTTGGACCATTTTGACCCCAAAATTTCGAATTTTCGACCAATTTACACTTAATTACCCCCTAATTATCTCTATAATTAGCCTCAGATGACGAATTTTGTGGAAATTTAGACGAAAAATCACGAAAAATAGTCCATAATGAGCTGAAATAGGTCAAAAATTGGCTAAAAAAATCAATTTTTACGGAATTTTCGACCAATTTCGGCTCATTTTCGACAGTTTTGTGTGATTTTTAGCGATTTTTACGGTCCAAATTGTCCAAAATCAGCTGAAATTAACTGAAAATCGACGAAAAATGAGCTAAAATGCACTGAAATTGTCGATTGCTCATGCTTAAATTGATTCGACTGAAAATTGGTGGAAAAAAAGGCTCAAAAGTGACTAAAAATGAGACAAAATACTCAATTTTTGGCTGAAATTGATGCTGAAATTCTGAAAAATCGGAATTTTCGCTCATTTTCAGCGATTTTTAGGGCCCAAATGGTCCAGAATGAGCTAAAAAAAGCTGAAAATAGGCTGAAAATCGACGAAAAATGAGCTAAAATGCATTAAAATCGCCGATTGCTCATGCTTAATTCGACAGTAATGAGCTCAAAATTGGCTGGAAGTGCCTGAAAAATGACGAAAAATTCTGAAAAATGACAATTTTTGGCTGAAATTGATGCTGAAATTCTGAAAAACCGGAATTTTTCGCTCATTTTTAGCCTATTTGAGCTTATTCTGGACCATTTTAAGCGATTTTTCTGGTGCAAATGGTCTGAAATTGGCTGAAAAAAGGCCTAAAAATGACGAGAAAGAGGCAAAATCCGCCAAAATACTCAATTTTTGGCTGAAATTAATGCTGAAACTCTGAAAAATCTGTATTTTTCGCTCATTTTCAATCAGTTTTAGCTCATTCTGCCCCCATTTTTCGTGATTTTCAGCGATTTTTATGTTCCAAATGGTCCAGAATGAGCTGAAAATGAGCCAAAAATCCCGATTGCTCAGCTTAAAATCTCTCCAAAACCCACCCCCCAATTTCTCCCAGTCTTTCCAGGATGCATAATTCTGGAGCGTCTGAACATTCTGGAAATCGACGAGAACGGGAAAATTCTGAATATGCCACGTCTGCCGAGACGTCAAGCGCCTCCACCGGACCCGCAATTTCAGAATGTGCCACGTGGATTGGATGGGAGGAATCCGGGAGCACGGAATCCGGATTATCAGAGGAATCACCGCCTTTTCAATGTCTATCGCCATCGGAATCAGCCGGGACTGGCGATACCGTACTTCCGAAGATCTGACGATGGAGACGTTCCACAGTTGACGATTTTCAATGAGGATTTGGTGCGGCAAGCGGTTGG